GTAGTAGACTAGAGGTAAGGCAGCTAGTCATCACCTCCACCGTCACTCTTGGCTACTCTTTTACCAACGAATAGTGGGATTGACCGTCACATTATAACGCCCCCACGGCTGAAAGGGCGAGCATGTTTGGTGGGATGCGGATTCGAACCCGCGACCCTCAGATTGTGAGTCGAGCGCATTATCCACCTGGCCATGCCGGGCACAATTATGTTCGTATTTCCATGCCCTGTTCCAATCATGCGCGGTTGTTTATGCTACCTGCACTGAAAATTTATACCTATTTTCTTTCCTGATTTGTTAATTTGATTTTTCTGTAATCGTTTCCATTCTGCTTATTGTTGAAGCTCATTTGAGAAACAAACCTTGTTGGTCTTTGGTATAAGAGCAGACTATCGGAGTTATTCGATTGTGCAACCCAGAAAAAAAGTTAAGAAAAGTAGCAATAAGTTTGGTATATACGGATCTATAGTGAAAGGGTTGTACACAACTATCAAACGTTCTTTCAATTTTTTATTAGACAGTGTGGAAAAAGTCGTGGAGGTTCAGTTACGTCATCTATTCACCACTATCTGCGCAAAATTACTGTTAAATCAACCAATCCACTCTCCATAGCGTTAGTATGGACTTTTGATTCGTAAATGAAGTGAATATCGGCGATCAACTGGTAAGAAGCAGACCAGTTATGCAGCTTGATGTCGTAAAGAATTACTTAAGCCTCACAAATGACGGTAAAGCACAATAAAGCTCGTTTCGATTTTTGCGGAGATCACGAAATTTCGCAACAACGACATAAGGCTTTCCTATATTCTTCAAAGTAACAAAGATTTTATGGCTTTATTAGTGATTGAAAGGTTCGTGCTTGGAGAGTCCTGAAGTGAATGATGCGCAAGTCAATGAATACGATGTATAATCAACGAGTATAATGTATAATGTATGTGGAGGCATTAATGTGAATGTACGAATAATGTCAATACTATGTTTCTGAGGGACGTACTTACTACTCGAAGCTATATTGGCATAGCATTAGAACCAGATCTACGATCATTCGGGGGTTTTCTAGCGTCACACGGTTAAGCTTGTGATGGTTCATCTTGAACAAGAAACTGTAGAAGTTACACATTGCCCAGCACAAAAGTTTTAATCTCATTTACCATGAAACATCCTTTGCTATTATTTTGTATGTCCTGTATTAAACAAATAAGACAGAATATCCCACGACGTCGTCCATTGACGATTATAATATCCTGGGAATAAATTAATGCCGGGGGGGGGGGGGGGTAACTGCTACTGAGTATATATGTTTTTGTCAAATGTGTTTGCTTGTTGTTATTTTTTTCAAACAAGTTCAGTCAGATCCCAGTGTAAAAAGGTATATACATATATAGAAGCCTAAATACACAAGTATGAATAACTTTCATGCATACATAGATAAAGATGTGTGGATATTTATGCACAGCGCGTTTAGAAGATTACATTAAAACGATTTCGAGTATCCAACACAGCAAGTCACATGAAAACTACAACCGATATACAGTCGCGGTGAGCTAGCATGTATCAAAACTACATAATATTTATTGTTTTGGGGAAAGGTATGAATCAGCCGTTTCCTAATCTAAATATTCATACATTCAAACCATACAGTTGTATTAAAATCGGGAAATTATAATTTGTAAGACGGAGCTATCCGTTGTACTTAATGATGTTCGAAAACAAGGGAATATGCATTAACTTGGGACCCCAAAAGCATACCGATCAAGTTGGCAGTCGCAACGCCTATATATTTCTATGTAATCGTACTATTGAAACTGGAGCTGGGAAAACGTCGTCCTCATGCACCAGACGTATCATGGAAAGTACCGCACGGAGGAGTGGTATGCTTTATACATGACCACCTTAAGACATGACTTTTTTTTTCAGAATAGAAACTAAGCTACAAGGCTACTGTTAATACATACGGTCATCAGATAGTGCATGAATGAATATGGCAATATGAACTGTAACGACGTGATGAGCCTTCAAAATTGTTTTAATATAACCTACTCAATACATACGGTCATCAGATAGTGCATGAATGAATATGGCAACATGAACTGTAACGACGTGATGAGTCTTCAAAATTTTTTATATAACCTACTCAACCTCTGTTTTACTTTCGGAAAATAACACATTATTTTCCAGTAAGAACCGATAAATGTCTACATTATTCTGTGTATCCAATCTCCAACTAGAGCGACTGTCAACACAAGGTATATACGTTTACAGAAAAGTTAATATATGTAGCAGTAACAGCACCGTATTAATCCGATTGTTGATTTTTAATTAGAGGGTTTTGGCACCCGCATATAAAATACACAACACTCCATCTTCAAAATTATCAGTACTTAAAACAAATAAATGTTTAGCTTAATATAGAAACCCGGTGTTTAGCGTAATAAGTCCACTGACTTATCGCTGAATCACCGGGGGTGATTAGCTCAAATAAAGAATGAATTAAACTCTGTTTCATTCAGTTATTTGAATGTTATATAGATATTTTAGCATTTTGGGGTTTTCTGAGAATAAAATTACTTGTTGAGTTTTCTTCACAATTGCTTGTGATAAAAATGTAACTTTTATTTTTATTTTAAACTTTAAGTTTATAAATTGAAAAACGTTTACATTCAAAAGGGATAACGTACTTTTTTGTTTTTATATTTACTCTGATATTTCTAAGAGTAGTGATGACATGTCGAAAAGAAATACTACAAATTACATTAAATGCAAAACTAAGAAGAGTCTTGATGTTAATTTTTTATCCGTTTTTTTAGACAAAGATAATGATGTTAAATTTATAATAAATTGATAATCATAAATTCGTAATTGGATCATACCTATTAGAAACGTGCCTTGTGTGACAGAATTGTTACTCTCTAAAGTGACTATTCGTTATTATTATTTTAATGAGATTTAAAATTTAAAGTGTAATCTGAACTATCTGTGCAGAATAATTAAAGACGAAAGGAAGAGTGATGTAAGACGGTCACGTTCAGGAAAACAGCTAAACTTGTATATCATCAGTTATGACGTCCTGCCATTTAGAGTGAATTATATGTCACTATTGTTCACGTGACCTGGTAAGTAATCACACTACGGAAGAAGCGAATATAAATTATCAAAAGGCAACCTCAATACTTGTTTTTGAACAATTACAATCTAATGTCAGCCCTTTGAAGTTTTTATGGTTACAACGTAGATATATCAGGGAACTTCACTTTGTTGATATGAAGCAATGGGGAGTTATAAATAACCTAATATGTGTAAAAGAAACACAGTTTAAGTTCCCTGCTTTTTTATACTTCTGCGACTGATTTACGATGAGTGACTGGCGATAAGACATGGGGGCTGTCTTACATCACACTAGTATTTATGTTCTTTGCGCCATCGTCATAGATAATGCGCAACTTGAGCATGGACCTTCCTTAGCCTTGCTTTTTAATTAAATTGCTAAACTTAGCATTTATTTCGAATACCAAATGTTATGACTCAGATGGAGGGCTCTTACCCCATATTGGGGATCCATTGTATACATCATTATAGGTGAACAACTCCAAACACAAGAACTGCATTTATTTCAATACCAAAAAACTCTGTGTTAAATCTTTGTTTTAACTAGAAATACATCTACATTATATATGAGTCCATTCTGAAATATTTTGCTTTTTCGTGACATTTATATAAATTGGTAAAAACCACATTCAAGGTTATGGTGGCCGTCTTTTCTCACCTTCCCCTAAATGCTTCATGAATCAAAAATACTGATTAACTCTCTTCAACTTTGGATACTGAACATCCAAGAAGCATTTGTTTTTAGTCAAAATTTTACTAGAAGAACAATAGGATATTTTACAAGCTTAATTATCTGAGGACTTATAAAATATTTTATTCTAGATAATTGTAAGAATAAGTTGGGTTTTCAAAGAGATTTGTTTTTCATTAGAAAATGTCAAAATATATTTTTGTAACATCTACCTAATCTTTTACAACTCTGGAGTAAAAAATATTTTTCCATGTCTTAAAGATAATTAGATTCAGCGTTATCCCGAGATCCATCCAGCTTCGTAATTACATCGAAAAACAACACAACGCATTTACACCAAACTGTACACTTAGCATCAATAATAAAGAAAAAAAGTTACTATGTTCAGAATACGACTTATTGACACCTACACATTGCGGCATTTCATGGGTGTCCGAGTTACGGTGATGGTAGTTCAGAACGACAACCGTCATGACTACTGAAAATGCAACCATTACCATCGTGCAAGCAAAATATGTGCCTGTAAAGAAAAACAATATCTCAAATCATTATTAGTAAGAAAGATTATATATTTTTAACAAAATGTAGAAACACATACACACATATACGAATAACACTTATTGTATTCATATCTTTGTATATTTAAGATATTTTCCTTTAATATATCTGTGAATGTACGTTCATGTTATCTTCAAATATGTTACACTATTTTTCATTGTAAAAATTGTTTTTATAATGATTAAAAGATTATCTTATTCGGAAACCAAAAACAGCTTTAAGTTTATCATAACTGAAATGGAGCAAAACAGATTATTTCATTAAATATGCAGCTAAACAACTATTTCATGAAAAATGCAAATAAACAGATTATTTCAAGAAAAAAATGTTTCGTCATAATTAGATTAGCATTTCTAGTATTTCACACAGTGTGAATAAAAACACATTTCTAAAATCGAACCAAAACCATATCTTGAAAATTTAAAACTATCCTAGGTTATTTATGTAAAAAGTATTTTTAAGACCGACCTCTTATCATTCAAACGTTTTTTACATTTTGTCAATTAAATCCATTTCTCCTGTCCACTTAGTTATTCAGAAGAAACAAAACTTCATCAATGAAATTATTCTGGACTGATCTGGATTAATAATGAAATTCAATTAAACTAAACTACTAAGCAATTCATATTCCCCTCATAGGAAACAGAACGCGCAAACGAGTTAAAATTAGCAACTTTAAGCTCTTTGATGTGTCTTTGAAAAAAATATTTTTTTTTCCGACCAATACACGCCTTAGAACTAATATGGTTGAAAAATTGTATGTAATTATTTAGAATTAAATCTAATAAAAACACTCTGTAAAAATAAAAGAGACTTATTTCACAAAAAACAACAACAACATGTACAATGTATCTGTAAATTACATTATAAAAAAGCCTTCAATATTAATAACACGAAAACATTCATATTACATAATCACACGTATAAAACAGAGTATGAAAGAGTGGACAAGGTAGGTATCTATTTACATGTATCATGCAAAACATGCACCAAAGTAAAATATGGATCGACGAGAAACGAGTGAAAGTATACGGGTAACATATCTTACGTAAGAAGAATGCTAATGAAATGTAAGAAGTGCTTATTCGATTAAAACTTTATACAAAATACGAGGTTTATTCCGTTAGAGCCGGAAATACGTAGGCTCTGTAACAGCGCAGTGCAGTCACGTAAAAAGAAATATCGATTTTAAGCTGAATGACAATCTATATAAATATTTATCGTTACATTTATTAAATGAAATTCAAGCTCATACTTTGAACGTTACCACTGCTTTGAAACATGACAAATAATTTGATACCATCCAGTCCTGTGATTAAACTGGTGTTTCAATATAAATATTCAGAGCTCTTATAAGCCCATGCACTAAGCCTAATTACTGCTAGGCATTCTCTAGTTTCGAACAATACCTTTTGATATATCAAACTTGCCAGCCATTACGAAGCTACATAATGTCATCCCACTGATTAATCATACCTCATATTATAGATAAAACTCCCTAGAATCCTTGCTACCTAACTTCAACCTCAATATTTTACTTCAATTCATCTCGCACTTAGCTGGCCCGATAAGATACAAAATGAACGAAGTCGGCCATTAGCTGATCATGATTTGGGCTTCTTATCTATATAAGCTAAATAGATCTTTCTGTAATGATGACAGCATCACCGCGTATGGAACAATTCTTGAATTTTCAATGAAGACGACAAACAAATTCAAATACACTTTAGTTATTCTACTCGACGTTTCGGTTTAGGCCTTTTTCAAATGTCTATGAACGTGACAGGTTATATAACTGAGCTTAAATTAGAGTATCCGAAAATAATATAAAACTACAACGATATAATGGAACGGTGCACGGTGCGTACTAAAAGTATTGTTGAACGGGTTAGATCATAAAATAAATGTCAAAATATATAAATAAATATACAAAATAAATAAATGTAGGAAGAATAATAACATTATAGGGGCCAGGCATTGTATCTGTTAATGGAAGGGCGTTTGGATAGAATCAAAAGAGATTCATTAAATTTTCTGTCAAGAAATTTGTCAAAAATCTCTAAGAGTTTGATCCGATATGGTGTCTCGTTAAACATTTCCTTGTGCGTTGATTGAATGTTCAGTAGTGGCTTTCTCCGTTGTCAAGATTTGCCGCAGCACGAATGTGTTCGTTGATCTTCAAACGCCCTTCCTTTAACAGATACAATGCCTGGCCCCTGTAATAATATTATCATTTATTTATGTTGTATTTTTTTTATTTTAACATTTATTTTATGATCTGCTACTCTAACCCGTTCAACAATACTCTTAGTACGCTTTATCCTGAGCTGTTCCAATACATTGTTGTAGATTTATATTATTTTCAGATACTCCAATTTAAGCTCAGATTTGTATTCTGTGACGTTCATAAACCCGTGAAAAAAGGTATAAAACGAAACGTTGAGTAAAATAAATAAATAAACGTTTATTTGAAGTTGTTTGTCGTCTTCATTGAAAATGGTTTCCATTCTTTAGTCAACACTGAAAGTTTTGAAAATGATAAACAATTATTGGATTGCTTAGCAATTCTAGCGAGAAAACCATAGAATCATAGTCTATTTCAATTAAGAAACAAAAGGACCGATAACTTTACATTTGTTAGCCATACTTGTTACAAATATAAATATATAAGAATCTCTGCTATATGTGATTAAAATGTATATTTATTTAAAAAATCTCGTTGTTAGTGCTGTCAAGCGCCTCGTTGAACTTTCATTGTTTTTACTCAATGTGTTTATTATAACTCCGTTTCTTATCATTTTTACTGTCCCGAAGAAGACAGTTTTTGCATTCCAATGAGTAACAAAGATAAAATATGTTCCGTAAACAGTAATTAAAAATTAATAGCGGCGTTTAGTAAGGTTAAGGGTTTCTTTGCGTGTTTAATGGTAAGCACAAACTTACACAATGGATTATCTTTGTTGTGCTTATCGCGGGTATCGAAAACAACTTTCTTAGCGTTATAAACTTTCAGAGTTACCCCTGAGCCACTGAGACAATCATTCCTTGAAACACGTCGTTCATACATAAAATATGAATTATTTGCTTGGATTAACATGTTATAACTTAAACAGACGAATTTCGCACGTAGTAAACGTAACTTAATAAATACAACATCAAACTAAGGATATCACCAGACAAACACACAAGACGCACAGGTCGACAGACACAAACATCGCACCTATCAGAGGAACTGCATCTGAGGTCGGTGGCATAGTTTCCGCCACGAGAAGCAGAAAAACCGTCAGGGAAAGTAGGATGGTGACCCCTGAAAATAACAACAAGCGAGCATGGGTAATTCATTCTGGGAACACGTTTAGACCTACTACCACTAGGTAATCTAGGATTGATATCCACGTGCAAGAAGGGAGACAAGTGGTGGAGACTTCACCTATGATCGACACAGCGTCAGATGTCGGAGGCATGTTTTGAGCTAGCTGAAGCATGAAAACCGTCAAGGACAGTAGAATTGTCACACCTAGAAGAAAAGTTTTACAAATGTATTACATAAAGTTATTAATTATGCGTTCCTCTCGAATCCTTACGTTACATATTGGATGAAATGTTTAAACTTTAGTATCTTAGAAGTTTCTAACTCAATTGAAATAACGGCATGCTAGAAATAGACTACTGAATATTCTGAAATATTGGTGTATTACACGTGTTTTCAAATAATAAATGTGTTATATCAACACGTCAAAAATGACATTTTTCATGTTCCGGATCAAACAATGCCTTAGAAAAAATGTTCTTCTTGCTCCACTAGTTTTTAATTTTTCGAATTAATGAATACAAAACGTTGTCGAAAAATTAAAAATTAGTGATTCAGCCTTGGCGGAACACGTGTCAAATTCTTCACAGAACATTGAATTTGATAAGGATCAAATACTTAAAAAAATTAAGTTAACAAATGAATTCAACAGAAGAGAATTTCTTGAAATTATTAAATATAAAATAACTTTGAATAGAGATCTCGGCCCAGGTGCCACAGAAGTGAATTTTTGGAAATCTATTCTGTAGAATGTACAGTATAATATGCAAATTATACACGTGCACTTGCTGGTATAAAAAATAAAATAAAATGAAATTTCCTGTGTTTCTTCTGAAACATGAAGAGTTTTTAATTGTTTATAGTTTTAACTGTATGTTTTACTTTTAACTTATCCATTAAATTATTGTGCATTTTTAAACGTTGAATGTATTTACTCATTTAATGAAATCTATGCACCAGAATGGTCATAGAACATATTGATAAGGATATGCTCTGATTTTCGTAAAAGCTTTTTTGGAATTACTAGAACAAAAGCAAAATAACTATGTATCTGTGTAATTAAACAACATCTTCAACAAAATGGATAAACATCTCGTACCATTAACAAAATGAAAAATAAACATGTAAAAAAAACGTAGCTCCAAACTCATGACTTCACATTATCACTGCCGATTTTCAATAAAAACTTAAATCGTATAATTTAAAAAATCTTAAAGTGTAATTATTTTAATCTGATGCTTAATCCGATACTGCATTCGAAACATCTGAAAATCATCTTTTCATCCTCTCTCCCATCGGGGTAAAAATTGTATTACTTGCGCTACAGGATTGGAAGATATACGCACTTTGTTTGTAGACTATCCTGTACATTGTGCAAACAAAATTATATCAAAGAAACATATACTGGAAAAGATCATGCAACGTGACAGAGATGTAAATAAAAGGAATATCAATCAGTCTTTCGGTTCACATAACTCTTCTTTCCATTTGCCACAGAAATAGTTTCCAAAACTTTTAACTTCATTGACAGTAAAATAACTGTTTGTTTGTAGTAAAGCAAAAAGCTGCACAATGGGTTATTTGTACTATGCCCCTCACGGGCATCGAAATCCCGTTTCTAGCGTTGTAAGTCCGTAGACATATAGTTGTGCCAATGGGGAGTAGTAAAATAATTGAAAGTTCCTTTACCAGGAATGAAAAGCTGGCCGTAACTAATATATTCTCATGAAATAAAATTAAACCTGTATATATATTAGACATTGGTAGAGATTACTAATATTTTTTTTTTTTATGTTTGAAAAACATTTACGTTAAATACTCCATCTATAGCAAGCTCTGATATTTCTTTATTTATCTTTCGTGTATTATAAGTATTGTTTGCCAAATTTTGTTTATCATTAAACGTGTTTTGAAAAATAATTTATTTCCAACATTGAAAGACACATTCAATTAACTGAAACCTGCCTTGGGCTTAAGGCTGGAACTAATTGTGTTTTTTTAAATGTTTTACTTGTGAGGTTTTTCCTTTTAGAATAATAAAACATATTAACCTTATATAAAATATTATTGAAAAGTACTACGCTGTTTTAAACGATAACTGTGTTACTTTGAAATCAATAGAAAATTGTTGTGATCATTAAAACAGTAAGGAAGATAAGGAAGAAGTTTCTTTCACTGTGAAACACCAAAGAAGTTATGAGAAAACTACGTAACTACGATATTATTTTCTAAAGCAGCTTTCTCATTTGCGGCAACAGCATGACTGTACAATTGTTGGGTTCTATTAGCCCTCCATCAGCCTTTTGTTAATTGATCTCAAGATGTCGATTTTTAATTGTTGCCGCTAGGCCTCTTTCTTTAAGGTAATCTGTATTATTTTACCCTGCACTAGGTTCTTTCCTTTGCCTTATGTAAGCTGCTACTGGTCAGTATTAAACACTGCTACACCAGTATTAAAAACTGAACATTTGATATATGTTTTTTTTTTAAACGAACCATTTTGGTTTCATTACAGAATTAATTAATTTCTATTTAGAAACACATAATATCAATGTATATAGTTAGATATGGTAAACACTTTCCGAAAAAATAACATTGTGGCCACTACTAGAAACGTTGGTGAGCGAGGAATCTTAGCGCCCACAGAAACAATCGTTTGGAGAATCACCGGTCTAATGTTATTGAAGCAGAAAGTTACTGGATCACTGAAACAATAATATAGAACAACTGGGATGAATGCAAATGACATAAACATGAATAGAATAGAAACTGATTTCACTTCTGAGAAAATAATATAAAACTATAATAAGCATCTGAGTAATCAGTTAAATGTTAGTCCTAAAATGACTAGAGTAAAAGACTACGCGAATCCTCAAACAAAGCCCACGGTAACAAGGATAGAAAATTGTTACAATGAAATATAAATTGTGTAAGGTATAAACCTGTTGTGAGACCCTAAGGTATAGACTACGCGAATCCTCAAACAAAGCCCACGGTAATAAGGATAAAAAATTGTTACAATAAAATATAAATTGTGTAAGGTATAAACCTGTTGTGAGACCCTAAGGTATAGACTACGCGAATCCTCAAACAAAGACCACGGTAACAAGGATAGAAAATTGTTACAATGAAATATAAATTGTGTAAGGTATAAACCTGTTGTGAGACCCTAAGGTATAGACTACGGGAATCCTCAAACAAAGCCCACGGTAACAAGGATAGAAAATTGTTACAATGAAATATAAATTGTGTAAGGTATAAACCTGTTGTGAGACCCTAAAAAATAGTCTAAAGTGACTATGGCAGAAAGCTAGTTACTGTCGTCACCAAACAAACTGTATCAATTCAATCATGTAGATGGCTATCGTAGTGACTGGAACAATTAAAGAGATGAACGCTCATGCGATAACTGAAACATCTTTATAGTGGAAAATTGCTGTGGTCATTGGAACAATAATCTCACTTAGCAAGGTTGTTATGATTATTGAAGCAACAGTGTGAAGGGGGTACATAAAAATACATTATATTTGTGATACAGCACAATTAAAGTGAAATGATAAAGAGACAAACATAACCACTCAAGTAGGTTAAAGCGTTGTGTAATAGACACTTATAATTATATCTCAGTAGGTATTCTAAAAAAACATCTTTATATTGTTGAAGTATTGGTTTTAATAGCTACAAATTGTATAAAACTTTCAAAAGCATATTTTACAAACATTAAATATTATCTAGGCTTGGGTACTTGCTTTAACTAGTTTTCAGTATAGCACTATTATTTTATTATATCAAAATCAAGTTTTGATTTAGCAACCATTAGTAAGTTGCATTTTTAGTTCTAAGATTTTGAAATGTAACATACCAAAGCTTGTTGAGGTATTTTGAACTATTTTCAAAAAATTATAACGTTAACCGGTATTTCAATTTTATACAGAGGTTGGAATACATTATATCAAAACGAATTTGAATATAAAATTCAACAAATCAAGTGACAACCAGCCGATATAAAATCGCGGTGGAACGAAATGTATCAAAACTGCATTTTGGTATTAATTGGCATTATGTATAGGTAGTGTGATGCCACCGTAAGTTCATCACTTTTTAGAAGGGTATGTAACAGCCTTTCATGACGCAAGATATTCATATATTCAGATCATAAGGGTGTGTTAAGATAAGGGATATCACTTGTACGTAATGACATCGGAAAAAAAAATGGAATATGCATCGACTTGAGGCATCAAGGACCATCCAGAAAGAAACCTACAATAAGTCGTACCACAACCGTAGTAAACATAGTGCAGCTTCTTGTAACAGATGAGAATCCTAGAAAACAAAGGTTAATAACAAAGGCCGTCTGCGTGCCTCAAAAAACAAATACGGAAAATACCCAATAAATGGTCTCTGTCTGGACGAGCTACAAGAGTCATGTGCTCATAAGCTGCTTCCATGGCATATCCGTTTAACTGCTGCATGCCTGACGCAACTGGGGAATGAAAATCGTATAAACTTATTTTACACGAAAACATAAGAATGAAATCACCTATGGATTTCTGTGCCATCAGAAAATTGAAAAGGGAACTGAGAAACTGTTGTCCTCGCACACTATATGGATTGTGGAAACTCATACGAAGGAATGGTGTGGTTTGGACTTGACAGTTTTACAACGCAGCTCTTTGAAATGGAAACTACGTCACAAGGATTACGTCAAGATGCATGGTCGTCAATATAGCAGGATCGGATATGGTAATGTGAACTGTAACTATAGCTACGTGCTTAGGCTCCAAAATAATTTTAATATAACTTACTTAACTTCTGTATTTAATCTGCCAATTTTAATCAGTTTTATTTTTTAAGTAAAACTCTTTCATATAGAATTAATAGTAAACCATTTTTTAGGGATTCGTTTTGCATTTACTTTTACCAACCAAGGTTTTAGAAAAGTCTACCCTGTTATTGTACTTAGACAAGAATCGAATGTTATGTTGCTAGAATATATAATTTAAAGTTCTCAAACCAAAAAAAAAGAAACTGAGAAAAATGTCGCTACAATCTATTTCTACCTTTACAAACTCCTCGTGGTTAAAATGTTGAACACACAAAGGATATAACAAAATTGAAGAACAGCGATTATAAGAAGATTAATTTGACGGCTACATTTTTAATCAATTATTTTATAGATAGACTAGTAACTTCCTATTGGAAAAAAAATGTTTCTAGTTAAGAGTTTCATTAAGAATGTAGGTGAAACGTAATTCACTTGCTGACCTATAACAAAAATAGTACGTTACTAAATCTTAGCTTATCTTTTGTGTTTATTGTTTCCTAACTATAAAACTGAAATTTTTTGAGTTTAATTATCTAGTTTCAAATTAATTCATTTTTCTTTTGCTATGGTTAGAAATTAATATAAGATATAACATGCTGAAAATTGATACAGGTAAGTAATTTCATCTAAAACAAAATATTTAAACAAGAATACTTCCATCATTTTAGACTCGACTTTCTTATACGGACGTGGAACTAAAATTAGTTTCCGGTAAAAACACAATTAACCAATATTAGAAAACAAGAGAAAAAGTAATTTTTACAGATTACTAAAGCATTACATTTAAATTTATTTGGAACAATCTTCTAGTAAAAAAAAATGTATCGTGCGTCATTAACAATTATTTGTATTAATAATGAAACTCAACATATGTTAGAGAAAAAAATTACAAATTCTAATGAATAGATAGATCATGTGTATAATGCACTCTGTTCGTATTTTATCATGATTACAATCCTTAGATCTATTTTTACCTCTTAAGTGAACTATCATAATTAAAGATTGAACATTCAGTAAAATGTATTAATAAACTGGTCAGATTTGTGTACATTAAAACCTTTCTTTTACCTTGAGTGTAGACTACAGATACTGAGACGACGAGTAACTTTAATTGGCGCAATCTAACTACAAGATAACAAAACATCGTTGATACATTTTCGAATGTTATTTTGCATTATTAGCTTAACTGACTAGCCTAAATCTCCCAATCGAACCTCGTGAGACATGACTGGGTTTACGGCCGAAAATGCCGTTAATAGTGAGGATACTCAACGGATGAAACAATACATTCTAATGTTTATAAGTAGAAGCGCATATTTAACTAGCTATATTGATGACCAGGTTAATTTTAGTTTAGCTCTAAGTACATAGTTTGCTCGGATTGGAAGTAAGTATTAATTATTACATGCAATAAACCTACACAAATCCCTAAACATTACAGTGTTTGAACAGATATTTTCTACACATTGAAGTCAAAATATAATACCTGTTTTACCCATCGTGAGCTATAAAGTTTATTTTTAGCTTATTGAGCAAATCTCACTTAGAAACTGTCAAAACTATTCCATCGATTTATCAGTTTAATAGCCTTACATGACAGTAAATTGTTCCAGATGCTTGTGACAACAGATAAGATATGTAATTAATAGTCGTCAGACATTAAGGATACTTCATGAAAATAACTAATAAATGCTTTCGTTTGATAATAGTGCCAGTTACATTATATCTATATAGATAATTTATTGAGGCATCAAAAGAAGATTTTCATTTGTTTAAACTTCACAGAAAGTACAATTTACGACTTTGTAAATTAGATAAAACTTTAGTGCCTGTAATTAATATCAATTACTGCTTATGTAGACAATAAATGAATTTTGAATTCAAATAAAATCTACAGAAATGATACACAAACCATAATATTTTGAACAGCAGTTGTATTCTGACGAGTATTTTATGAGTTTCAGTAAAGACTCTAATTTTATAGCGATACTAACGAGTTGTATTATTCCTATTAGCATAATTTATTTCGAAGAGATATTAAAATAACCTTACTTAAGATTTTTAAATGATATTTATTGCGTGATTAGCGATTATCCTGATTTCCTTTATGTGAGAAAAAAACTCCTTCTGACAATATACATGGTGTAAAAAATTGGAAATACTTTTGAAATATCATACCAAGAAAACCGTTTGATATAGAGTAACGCATTTTGTTGCACATGCAAGAATAAATTTTTAAGTATTATTAAAGTATTTTTATTATAGAGTATTGTATTGTTTGAAGTTAAGCACAAAGCTACACAATGGGCTATTTGTGCTCTGCCCACCACGAGTATCGAAATCCAGTTTCTAAGGTTGCAAGTTCGCAGACATGCCGCTGTGCCACTGGGGGGCTTATTATAGAGTATAACCACCATTATTCAACATATGCACCACGAGTAACACGCAAAATGTCAAGTCTGCACGAAATCTTCTTCCAAATGTTTTGCAACATCGCAGAAGTAGCCTTTGTGAAGGCTTCTTGAATAAGTTGATGCAATTCATCTTTACTTGAGATCTTACTAGCGTAAACCACGTACTTTACGAAGCCTCATAAAAAATCCGTAGGCGTAAGGTAATGCCCAGAGAAAGCAGGTGCCAGCTGATCGGGCTTCCCTGCCCAATCAACGACTTGGGAATGTTTCATGAAGTGTGTTGCGGACGCTGAGGCTCCAGTGTGAAGGGATATCGTGAATCAAACCGCGTGTTTCTATGTTAACCGGGTATGATTTTTCAAAGTGTTAACAAAAATTATCGGACGCCCTTTATAATGGTTGCAATGAAAAAAGCGTAATTTCCTTTGATATTCAATGTTGTGCATGTAAGCGATCCAAATTATCAGTGCCAAGGACTGTTATTTGTGTAATGTGTTTTCTTGGTGTAATGCGCATGGACAATTTTTGAAAGAAATCTTACAGCAAAGCCACTCAATCATTTTGAACGTTCAAAAACTAGATAAATTAATTTCGTCTTCAATTGAAAGTTTCTGTTTTATCTTGGTATTATGTTATCAATTTGTATATATATAAAGCAGCTGTTTGTCATTTAAGAGCTGCTTGTCCTTTAAGATTATTTTATTTAATGTAACAATACAGTTAGTAATGTGATTTTGGATTCGTAAAACCTACTTGCTTAGAGGTGTTTTGATACTTGGGTATAAACTGTCTAGCATTGAATTGTTTACTTGGAAGTTGTTGTAATTTTTTTATTATACACTATCATATATCAAATATCGTGACTTCTTGTTTTTATAGAAAACCTACCAATTTGAATTGGTTCGTATTCCAACGTAAGTTCGAAAAGATGTTGTTATAAGAATATTTTATAAATGTCTTCTACTGCTTATTGGTTAATTATCTCTATTCTGTAAGATCGTTTGGAAAAAGCACGAAGAAGATAGTAATTTTAACCATTCACAAAACGTTGACAGTATTGTATTTCTCTGTATGATCAATGTGTGATAGTTCTTAATAATATTCATTATGTGTATGTTGAATAATTAACTAAATAATTATAAAAAATCGTTAGTGGTTTATTGCAGCTTTTTCAGTTACGTAACTGTAAACTCAAATGTCAATGCAGCTTAACTCAGTATTTCTCTAAACCTGCCATTAGGTGTGTATGTAATAGCAGTCTAATAAAGTGTGAAAAATCAACGTAAACTAATTCATGATTTTTTATGTGGAAAAATCTGTTAAGTAAAAATCTCTAATTTGAAGTTTGTCATAAAAATAATATAGTAAGAAAATTAAACGTTTTAGCGCAAAACTGAATGGCAGATTATTTATGGTGTTTACAATAACAAGCAAACTGAAAGACAAAAATCCTTTAAGTATCTTAAAATAAATCAATTAAAAAATATGTGTTAATAAAAGAACTGCGTGGGCAAGGAATGAACAAAATATAGAAAAAAAACAAGGTGAAACATTCACCAATTATAAACAAATTTATTCGCGAATTTTTGAAAATACATGGATTTCTTTTATATGCATTAATCTTTCTGCTGGGCTGATCGTCTTTTGATGTTGACATTGTATAACTCTATTTTTCTATTGCTTTTATTTAAAAATTATATATATAAAATTTTAAAAGACAAACTCTCTCCACTTTACGGATCCTACTAACTAAATAGAAATCACAATGAAATAATACAGAGTGCATTTATCGGCAGATGTTTCGTAGTCAGTATTTTATTGGCAAAAAAGTATCTTCTAATATACTTGTAGAAACGTTATTAAATATTGAAGCATTAACTGCATTTGTTATTGAGTTACTTTTACAAAACATTATTACAAGAGCGACCTACCCAAAGTTAATTTTTCTCCAGAATCTGGTGGTAAGGCAAAACCAAGCAAAGCCATCGAAGAAATCAGAACACAAGGAATGATAAGATTGAAACCGTAGTAGAGAGTTCGACGTCTGATGTGTAATGTAAAGGTTATATCGACGTAAGGTTCGGGGCAGCAAGTGTAATATATTAGATTTCGGACTCCTGGAAAACCTGAAAAAAATTAAATGTACATACGTATATGTTGTAGCTTATGGTGATTTTTCTATTTAACTAGAGATCTGATTGTATAAATAAAATTATCTCCCTAAGATTCTCATCATCACTTTTTAAAAATGGCTCCAAACAGTTATGTTAGAGTTTATGTAAGCAATATATTTACGGATTAAAGGTAATGTCACATTTAATCGAGTTTAAATGGAATATCAATTATTTCAGTTAGTGACCACCGCTACTTCTAAGACTTTCTCTGTGATTATATTATGTTATTATACATTTATCTAAATAAAAAAGTTGCATCGCCTTTGTTTCATATTTTGTAAGATTTATTTGATTAAACATTACTAATACACTAAGTATTTTGAATAATATAATAATATTGTTAATATTTAAATTATTTTATTGTCATGATCTAAGAAAAGAGTTAATTCAAGATTCTAAATTATTGAAACATTTAAAAGCTGGCATTTTCAAAATTGTATTTTTAGCTGGTAATGGTATGGATGTTCTTATAATATAAACGTGATGTTACAGTTCACCCCATCATCTACTAAAGTAAACCCCATTTAGTTGTAAAACTGGATAATCTCAAAGTTGCTTTGGGAACGAAATAGTATTTACTAAAAACCGTAGAATAAGTTTGAACTGTGGTTAAAAGTTATAAAAATATACCAGAACTTTGAATCTCTTGAGAAAGGTACTATGATAATGATTAGTAAACTAGTAGATATATCATTACTGTCACTAGCAAGCAGCTTCATTTTGATGACAAAGGGTTGTTGTTATTTCCTTTATTAATCTGCAAGCTAATTATTTGTACCGATATTGTTTGGTTTGCTCTTTGATATTTCTTAATAAAAACAATAAGGGGCAAACAAATACTTAAATATACTTATAGAATGTGTTATAATTGTTTATTTGTACTTCAGTACAAAGCTACACAATGGGCTATCTGTGCTCTGCCCACCACGGATATCGAAACCCGGTTTCTGGCGTTGTAAGTCCACAGACATACCGCTGTGCTACTGGGGGGCTTGTGTTATAAAAACCTTGATTTCCTGAAAGCAATCTTTGATGAGAGCTATCCTGTATGATAAGAAATAAAAGTTTCTAGTGTAATTTAGCAATGTCTTGACTATATAAATAAATACAACAGTAATATTGAATGAAACATTTTCGAACCTTTATCGACTTATTTATGCTCACTTGAAAAAGAAACAAATAGTATTACCGCCAGAAAAAAACTATATATGTGTTCATTTGTAGCAAATAAGTCAAGAGTTTTTGGAACACATTATGATATATTTTTCACATTTATCGTGTTTCTTGGGGTTCAATTTATTATAGTTGCTTTTAGAATGGAAATTATATGTGAATTTGGAAACTTTTACGTAATCTGCTTTTGTATTCTGCAAAAGAAATAGTAAAATAAAACAGCCTTAACATAAAAAAATACGTTATCGCAAGAAAGCGGCTTGTATGCTGAAATCTAATAAAATTACTGTCATAGACAAAGGGCCGAGTGAGGCTTAGTGGTTAACGTGCAGGAGTTCGAAAAGAAATATTTAATGTTGGCGCCACTATGCCGTTCAGTATGCTGCAGGTGTGTCTTAAAATGACGTTCAATTCCATTCTTTGGTTTAAAGCCAGAATAAGCAGATGCTTCTAACTGGCTACCTTCTCTCTGGCCTGTAGTTTAGAACTAGGGACTGATGTGCCTGAACCTTAGGCGTTTCTGACCTGATCGTTTAGCTCTTGTTCCACCGGGGAACTCATACATAAAAATGAATAGTCATAAGACCTGTTTCCTAAAGTAACTTTTTTATCCATATAATCGTGCTGAACTGTTTCCAACTAATATCATTTGTAACACTTAATAAATGTAATATGAATTCTTTATTTTTAAACCATGAAAATGGCTCTAAAATACTGAGTGTAGCTTGTAGTTTTTTGTGTTTTTTTTTATCTGAATTAAAGTAATGAAAAAACATTTTTTTATAGCAACTACGTTGTGTAACGCAGAAAACTGTGTTTCGGTACACGTGGTGGGCACAGCACAGATAGTCCATTGTTTAGCTTTGTTCTTAAAAACGAAACAGACAAATAAAACACCTACGGGAAACTATTTGGACATATATATGTGCGCGTGTATATGCCCATTAATAATAATGTTTTTAACTTCTAAGCAACATTTTAATAAAACATTTATATAGCCTTTTACAATATTTTACGTATGAATTTGCTACCTCTAGGAGTACTACTATTCACATCAACATTAAACAGTTGTAAGTGCTACTTAGTGTTTAGCCTGTCTTGCCTTAGACTGGAAAGCCCACGGTTTGATACATAATATCCCCTGAATATGCTCTGTACTTCCAACAGTACAACGTTATAAATTTGACTGACACTCCTGCTATTCAATTAACAGTACCAGTGAAGAAGACAATTACTCTAACGGTATGCCAGCTGAGGGATTTTATCCCAGGGCTTTTCTCTTCTCCTTTAGGGAAGAGGAAATATTATAAACTGCATAATAAAGCATTACTGAGTAAAAGGCAAGTGAGCATAAGAACCATTTTCGGCCTGCAATAACATAACAGTACATTAAAAAATAAAGTAATAAAAACATACTCTATACAGCTGAATAAACGTCATTTAGCACAAGTTTTACTGCTGGAACTAATAAAATGAAATTCATCTAAAGTTTTTTCACTCATTACACTTTCGAAATGTTCATTTTATTACTTCAAACTTAAAATTAAGATCAAAATCTAAGTTTTTTTTATTTACAAAATTAATAAAAAATTAACAGCATTATTGAACGAGGCTTAAAGTCACCTCTAGTGAATGTCAAACAATGCATAGACTTAATGCTTCTACCTTTTGTTTGACGCCATATTGAAATTTTGATTCTACTGTTACGTATAGTTGTTTTCTTGAACATGGAACAATAGGTTCGTCTCCCCCTTTCCCTAGTGTACATGTATTACTGTACATGCTTACAGCGACCTTTCATTCGATCTTACTAAGAGAAATACCTCTTAAATCCCATTCTCCGTTGTCAATGTACGTTGAAAGGTCTGCTTCTTCACTGGGTAGTAGGAGGTCCAGGGCATTTCCGTCATAGGTCCACGATCCGAATTTCATCACACATTTCTGATCGTCAAAAGGAAACCACGTGATGTCAATCTTGCACGTGCTTTTGAATATCCCTGGAGGAATGTACGAACAGCTGCCATTATGTTGTACCACCACGTTTGTAGGGAAGGTACTGTCAATCCTCTCGTCTGCACTGAAATAATAAGAAAAAAACTAATCATAGTTTAACCATTCTTGTCTTTCGTCTGATCTAGTTATCGACAACATTATTTTTCTCTAAAGTTGTAGAAGCTATCTTTTGTAAGGGAGATCCACAAAAATCAATCGAATGTGCGACAGAAAAAGCGAGAAGATAAACGGGCCTTTAGTATTTTTCATTGTTTTAATACCAAAGCCTATCCAAGTATCTTATGAAAACCAATAGTTTCTTTGCATGGCTTCATTACAAAGAAGAAACTTTAAATTAAAACTTACATCATAATTGGTTCGCGTGCCAAGTAATTTACTTGTAGTTTGAAAAAATGATAATCTATAACTTGTACGCAAATTATACCCGAAACACACAGATTATATGATTCCACAGCTTCACAAAACTCTACTATAGAAATTTTTAAATATAATGTCATAAAATACTTTTATTTGTTTTGTACAAAGTATTACATTAAAAAGCTGCTTGCAGACAAACGATTTACTTATGTTCCTGTACCTTCGTCAAGATAAGCTGAATTCATTATTTGTATCTAAACTTATACTTTTGTTATTCTTTTCTATGTCTACAAATGTGCTTTAAAACTTATCCCTTTATAATAAAACTTTCGACTTTATGAGATTATGAAATATTAATAGAAATAAGACTGTGTGATTATATTTCAAGTTGCACCATGTGTGTTTTAAAAACACACTTAATGTAGATGAAAATATTCCATTTGAAGTATTGTTAATTTGAGCTTTGTTCCTTTAAGTACAAATTAGATAACTCAATCATTGATCATCTTTTTCTGCTTAATGTCACATATCGTAAAACGAAACGACGCAACTTTCATTCTAAGAGAAACCTCAGACACGACTCACGGAAAAAACCTGTAACCGTACACTGATCGAATTTAAAGTTTGCTAATTAGTTAATATCACCTGGTTTAAGTGCACATTTAACTTGAGGTTGGGGTCAGTATTCTTTATAAGCGCGCACCTCTCGTTTATCATTAGAATCAATACACTATAACGTTTAAATTAAAACTAAGAGTTGCATAATATGAATTGGTAGTTTATACTTAGGTGGCGCTACTTTGTTTAAATATGGTTATAACGTTAAATGGAAGATAAATCGTTTTGGTTCCATCATATAATTTCTTGTGTTTTGAAGAACATTAACTTCAATGTACATTTGATTGTAAAACATTTCATTATTGTGCTACAATTTTAGCGCAGATTCTGGAAACCATAACTGTTAATGCCAAAACTCACAATTTGTTTTCATATCCCACAGAAAATAAAGCAATTTAATTTTGCTCAAAGAAAGACTAAAAATATAGTAGCCTAACTAAGTAACCGAAACATTAAATATTATGTAAAAAAAAACTTGAAAAAATTAAGTACCGCAGAGTAAATTTGTGTGTGCAAACAATCAATCGTTTTGATTTGCACAGTTCTTGTTTCGTGATCTATTGAAAGAAAGTCAACGTAGATTATTTTTACAAAATTTGTTAACCCTAAGAAGTTTATAGTTCATTATTTAAATACTGTTTTATTAGTTAATCTGTAGTAAATTGTTTTTATCCAAATATTTCAGTTTACGTCATATTTAACATTATAATATTTTAGGGGGTTTATATTTTTTCAAATCTACATTAAAATCTTCGACTATATTTGTACTTAGATTTCAATGTTTATGAACTTTATTTCAAAACATATTGAATAAGAAATCAACATGTTATCAAAGCTATTTCACGCTTGTTAGTGTTTAAGAAGTATTGCACAATTACTAATTAAATTATAAATTTAAAAACAAAACAAACAAGTAACCATCTTGTAATAGACTGATAACCAGTTGATATTTTTGTAGGCTAGAATTTTACAATTAATACATTTGTATTGTTTATTATTCAGAAGGAATTCTGATGTGATAGACGCTGCTTAATGACTACAAACTTCTTGAAAGCTTAGGAAACGATTTCTTATATATAAATTATGAGTTAGATTAATGTAAATGATTTTGACTTGCGAGTCTGTTACTGTGGTGAATTAATTAGCAAGTTTGTCAGTTTGTCTGTTATTTCATTTATGTTAATATTGAGTTTGTGTTTCATCGAAGTGTTAGTGATAGTGTCATAAGTATGAGAGAAATTCAGAAAATAGCTGAAATGAATAAATTTGCGTCTATTGTGAACTTGCCCTAGGAATTCACGATAGTTAAATAAAGTTGTACAACTTGAAATTCAAGAAGTTAGATGATTTCGTTATAATTAAATGGACTGGAAATTGCCTAAGCAGTTTTTTAACGAGCAATTAAAAAAAACAAAAATCTCGCCTACAATATAAACCGTTAATTACTATGGTAAGAGTATCTCACAAAAGAATATTATTCTGAAAGGATAATTGGTTTAATATTTCCAGGATATTTAAAACTAGTGTTAACAAGAACAGTATTTAGAATTAGTTTTAACATGAAGAGTATTTAGAACTAATGTTAATATGGAGAGTACTTAGAACTAGTGTTAACATGGAGCGCATTTAGAATTAGTTTTAACATGAGGAATATTTAGAACTAATGTTAATATGGAGAGTTTTTAGAACTAGTGTTAATATGGAGAGTACTTAGAACTAGTGTTAACATGGAGCGCATATACAATTAATGTTAACACGAAGTGTATTTTTAGGTAGTGTTAATGTGTAGAGTATTTAGAACTAATGTAGTTAACATGAAGATTATTTATAGCTAGTGTTAAAATGGAGAGTATTTAGAACTAGCGCTAACATGGAGAGTGGTTATATGCAACAACAAAAATATCCGAATGGATTCGTATTTGTTACCTGTTATACATGAGGACATCTGGTTTCCAAATGTATTTGGGTGCTATCCGTATATCTCTGATTCCTCCGTACTGAGACACGTTCCATCTCAAATTGACGTCTACCCATTCCTAAGGTAAATATATAGAATACATAAAAATGTCTGAAACCAAATGGAAGTGATGTTATGAAAGATCAATGTCGTAATACAAGCCATCTCATAACACTAATGACTTTCGTGATAAGAAATAGACAATGAGCAAGAACAAAGTAAATATGATATTTTACCAGCCATCCCATAATACTAATGACTTTCGTGATAAGAAATAGACAATGAACAAGAACAATATAAATATGATATTTTACCAGTTTAATATTAAATGGCTGTTTATGCACATTCGAAGAAAGTCTAGATATGTTGTAAGCTAAAATTTCTTTCCAGGTATGTTGAATTTAAATATTTACTGCACAAAATAATAATATTATTTTATAAAAGTCATAACTGCACTTTACGCTTCAAATATAGTACAGTACAATATATATTGAGGTTTATTTAAACCAAACACTTTCAAGGGCTTTTTATCAGGTGAAAACTGTTGGAGTATTCTATCAGTATGTGTAACTAAATTGTGACCTATTAGTAGATTTATTCATTTAATTAAAATAATTCTCTATCAGTCGTTCTATGTATTCCACCTGTTGAAAAGCACTTGAAAGTGTTTGGTTCAAATAAGCGTCAATATACATGTGAAGTATTAGTCTGAAAAATACCTTTTTGACTGGTAGTTTTGTGAAGCAGTATTATTGTTGTGCACATTTCGTATTTAATTATTTATTGTTATCGATTGTTAAATAACAAAGTTTTAATTTAGATTTTTGTATTATGTAAGACAAAACTTAAATGTTAATGAATTATACAAACTTGAAATAGAATCAGTAATTTAAGACGAGGAAAAGGACTCTTTTGGAAGGAACTGAGGCAATAAACTATTAAACTGACAAAGGTAGTAAATTCATACTGTCTATTAAACTGACATTTGTACGAAATCTGATAATATACTATGGTATACTGATAGCACTAGAGGTTTTTAACACAAACATATTTTGTTGAAATTGTTGGAGTTTAGACAGGATATAATATTGGTATTCGAAAAATTGTTTGTCTATTTTTAGACAAAATCACATTGGGAATCTCACCCCGGATTTTAGCGTTGTAATTCCGTAAATTTACAGCATATAGAGAAAACTGTTATATTTAAAAATCTAAGCAGGTTTGACAGCTACTCTTAAGACTAATGGTACAAAAAATACAAAATATATCAGAACTGACAGTGGTACGGATTTTAAAGAACATATTTGCAATGGTAAATGGTTAGACAATTACATTTAACAGAATTTTGACAGAGGTAAATAACAACAAAATAACCATCATTTATACCAATCTCTTAATAGTAGAAAACAACACAAGAATTCATTGTATATGTTTACAATGAGAAAATATATGATATAACTTCATAAACTAATTGTTAATTTGGGTTAGTAAATTTTTAAGTTTAACAAGGTATTTATTGAATAATTTACAGTCCAAGTTACACAAAACTTGTCAATAATTAAACTATGTTTGCCTTTATTCAAACATGTTTCAAATAAATGGTAGAGTCATTTAATAAAAGCTACTTTTTTTTAGTTTAAAATTAATATTCAGCAGCTAGTAGTGCACAATTGTTTGTGACTTCAAATTATCCTTATTTACTTTTGTTATTATCAAAGTTTGTAAAAGTAAAGTCAGCTTTCGTTTAAACTTTATTTTTATGTTTCCTGTGGACATTTTCTCACGAAGAGAATAGGAGTGCATGGCGACAAAAGTTTTTTTTTTACTGATATGCAATGATGATGTAAAATGATTACATATATATATATGTCCACACTGTTAGCAGTTACAGAGTAAGTTTACTAATTATGATAAAAGGTTTGCAAATTGTCTCAAAACGGTTACATTTACCTTTAAAAATAAACTTTTTATATGGCCTAGTTGATTTCAAAACTTTATGATGTGTTGCAAAGCACAGCGCTCTTGACGCACACATCACACCCCCGGGTTTAGATAAAAACATGTATCAAAAAAGTAATGAATATGACATTGTCCAAACATAATCATTCTGAATGATGTGATTTGGGTTTTCAATATGGAAACAGAGTGTTGAAGAGTTTCAAGATGAATGTTATGTCATTTATCAGCAAGAAATGTCTCCAATTTCTTCAGGAATATCAGAGTAGAAAAACCTTGTGATAATTTGATAGACTAAGATATAATGATCGGGCAGGTTAAGGTAAACGGCTAAAGCCTCTCTATGATGGGTCAAACAGTTTCAGATAATCCTAGTTCTGAGTTTAGTTAAACTATCATTTTATAGACACAATGAAAAAGAAGTTAAAAACATAAAGTGATTTATAGTGCGTTGATTAAACCAAATCTATACTGAAAAGCTGTGACCTATCCAGAATGGAATCAATTACACTGTTTACAGTAATACTAATCCACTGTGGGTTACGCTTTTCTTTGGGCTGCTCTCACGTATAATCAGGTCTATCTGAGAGAAAAACAGTCATGTTGACTCGTGTGACCATATTAACTTTTCATAATATACGGGTATCCACAGTTTTCCTTATTGCCCCACTGTGTATGTAAACGTGAGATTCACGGGATGCTACATGGGCCGCTTTACCATTGTATTACATAATTTTCTGAAACTAGTTTTTGCTGTTGAACTTTGAATATATTTAAATTGATATGACATTCTTTTTTTGCTTCACAATGCGTTTCAATGTGCAGTGGTACCGATCAAGCATGATGGTTTTGGTTCCTTGTTAATTTCCGTATTTGCGGTTTTAGCAGGAGCAATCCATGCCGGTATCATGTTAAAATCTGTTGTCGTCAACACATCAGCAATTTGAGCCACAAATGCATTTGACGTGTCCAGTGTTGAAGGTTAACATGAGAGGATAACCCTTACATCTATATGTATATACACATATATATATATATATATATATTACACACCTGAGAAAGAGGTCCCATGTTGTTCCACATACACCATTAACCATTATACACAGAATTTATGGGCCTATTGACTATCTCATAATTCAGTTTTTATTTAATCTAACTCTTATGCATTTAGTGTTCTGTTTTGTGAAATCCACAACTACATGCTAGAAGAAATCCAGATTCAAATAAATATTGACGATGGTGTATCAGAGAACTCTATACCCATACAGTCGCTTCTCAAACAAAACTATAAAGCAACACCAGATATATACAAATACTTTGACGGATGCACTAACTAAATGTTTAAGGCTTGACCCTTCACAATTACATTTAGAAGCCAAAATCTAATAAAACCGTTTAAGGGGATTGAAGTAACAACAAGCAGACATTTAGCCTGACCGAGTTACCCGCTTACCGAGTGTCACCGTAATTGTTATTGTGCTACATTTTAAACCTTCCCCTAGAGATAAAGGTTAACTGAAAAATAGCGTGTTCGTCTAAGATAATTTTTAACAGATGATTGATTTTAGAAATATAAATTCGAACTTGCACAAATATATGCTCGATATTCAAATATTAAACGTTTGAAGATACAATACTGTCACCTAACTACTAGGAACTTAATCTTACCTTTTCCGATGGGTCGGCGGTAAGTTTATGGAGTTACAACGCTAAAATCAATGGTTCGATCTCAACTGTCGACAGTTTGGTTTGGTTTGAATTTCGTGCAAACCTACACGATGGCTATCTGCGCTACCCGTTCCTAATTTAGCAGTAAAAGACTAAAGAGACGGCAGTTAGTCCTCACCACCCACCACCAATTTTTGGGCTATTCTTTTACCAACGAATAGTGGAATTGACCGTCACGTTATAACGCTCTCACGGACGAACGGGAGACGGCAGTTAGTCCTCACCACCCACCACCAATTTTTGGGCTATTCTTTTACCAACGAATAGTGGAATTG